CAATTTTTGTAAAATAATCCCCAAAATTTCACGAGCAACTCCTTTGAGAAGCATTTGAACTTCTAATGTCATAGGCAAACTCTTGGGGGTATTCACTTAATAGAACATAGAAAATATATAGAAAGGTCAAGCTGCCTTTCTAAATTGGCTTACCCTATTAGATACGCCTGAGATGTCTATCTAAAAATTTTGTTATTGATCAATCCAAAGAATTGTCAAATCCGGTTACTATTGTTGATAACTAGCCTTACTTGAGAATGATACTTATATTTTATTGTTAAAGTTGCCATTCTGAATGCTCTTTCATTTGCTTCAATGCGCATTTAGAATATTTGACCAATAATCACTGCTTTCCGAATGACCTAATTAGCATCTTATAGATACCTGATCTATAAGATCACGTCCATCTTCGCCGACTACCGCACGATTAATGTGGCGTTGTTGTCTGTCCACATCATTGCTTCAAAGTGTGTATACAATAGCTAGGGAGTTAAAAATCTTTAGGCAGCCATGTGCGTCATCATCTGTCTACACGTAAATGGGTTCCAGTTGAGCTGATCAGTGAACCACAGCGGAACACACTCATCTATATTCTGCACCAAGCTGAATGGAAGGCCTATTCAAAGTGACAGTGAAAGGATGCAGTTTGCCCCGGAGCTGTGGGCCATAAAATGCTATGTAATGTAAGTCAGGAAAGTAATACATTTATCAATATTACGCATGCTGGCTTTGACCGCAGAAAAGAGTAACAAGCTGTAATTTTACGCATTTTTGACTCTGTGAAATGGCAGTTTTGGTTGAAAGGATGTGGGCAGTTTACATGTAGTTACAATCAAGTAGTGTAGACGAAAAGGCATTAATAATACCTTAAAAGTTACTGCATCATAAGCTGCTCAGAACAAATTCACTGCAAGTAAACTCGTTCCTAAATATACGAGAGAAGAAAAAAAAAATAACCTAATACAATATTTTACTTTCTCCTCTGTAATTGAAATAGTTAGGCTATATTTGAGATGCTCCTTTTTGCTTAATGCTTACAGATCATTAAAATATATAAGTTAAATTTTTTTTTATAGTCAACCGGTTAGGATATTATATTAACAAGTCAATTATAAATAGCCCTGTCTGGGTTTACCTTGTCTTGCTCATAATTGCTGCATGGAAACCAAAGCCCTAAATTGAGAAATAGTGGTATATAAATCTAAATTTGTTTCACTTGGTGTATTTTTAAACTACATAAACGTAAAAACTGTGTTTAATAATATCGCGAATATTTCCAGGATTCTACTATTTTAAATTCTTAGCAAAACATTAAAATTTCAGTTTATCCAAATTTAATGTTCCTAAAAAGCGCCGTCATAATTAATTTCAAAATTCTCAAGCAACAATAGAAGTTTGGTGCCAATAACAGCTGAATTTAAATTTACATTCTGCCCCAAATATTGATTGAATATTTGACAAAAAAATCAGTCATCCATTGTTTACATTAGAATTCTCCATATATAATCTGTTTAGAAGGAAAATTAAAATTAGTCTTTTAAAAGGTACATGAACTATCCCCCCTTCCTCAAGCAACTTCGCGAACGATTCGTGAGAAGGAAAATTATAACCAATAATATGTTAAGTTTGTTTATCGATCCATGCGTATCTTGTAGTAAGAGGTTAGCAAATCTCGCTCTGTCTTTCTTAAAAGTACCTTTCATAATTCACCCTCACGTATTTAAGTACCTTTTCTTTAAATATCAAAGACAAATTGAAGATTATTGGTGTGAAATTTCGATATAATATCCAGAAATAAATTCTAAAAATAAATTCATTCTGTTGCAGGCAAAATATAAAGTTTAATACAGGTATTTTGATTTTCTGTAGCCACATGACAAACAATATATATGTTTTATGACTGATGCATTTTCACAGAAAAATTCTTCTTCTAACAAATTAGCATTTAACACAACCTGCTTCCCAAATATTTTATTGCAGATAATAATTTGACAGTGTCATTTTGTAGTTGGTAATTATATGAATGTTATCTGGATGATATGGTAGTTAGCAGAAGTTAATCACTAGCCGAAACCAAGAATTCGGATCTGGTCCCTGAGTAAACGGTTCGGTGCTTTGTGTGTGCTGTCTTTTATTGTCTTTGAAAATGCAGTACCCGTCACTCTTAAATATTCCCTGGGCAAGAACTCTCATTGATAAAACTGCTAAATATATCAGATGAATTCGGAGATAATCCCGCGAAAACCTGATCGGCAAGCCCCGTGGCCTCTGGGGTAAGGTATTACTAAGAAAGGTACAAATATTAACAGAAAATTACGAAAAAAATTATTGCTATTTTATTCATCACTTATTTATGGTTGGATCTTGCAAAATCTTTCTAGACTCAAATACGCCTTTTTTAGTTTTCATGTACATTTGGAACACGAAATAAGAGGGTTGACAAAAATTTGGAATAGAAATGCTATTGGAAATGACCAAAAATCATTAAAATATGTAAACGTATCAAAATTCTTTATAGAGCTATTAGGCATTTTATTTTGCAACTGGAAACACGAAAAATCAGTTCTGCGCTCGCCGGGATTTGAACTCGGGATGTCAGTTACCAGTTAGATCTTTGCTCTTTACGTGTCCAGTTATCAAGGGAATCTTACTTATTGCTTTGGTTACAGGGTAAAAATAATGCTCTAATCCAAGGTTTTCTAACAGGGTCGGTATTGACCCCTAGGCTCAATAAAATTTTAATGATGAAATGATGATCAAGGTTTCGATTGGGAAAAGATAGCTGAATACACAACTGTTAACGAATATAAAGCTGTCAATGGAATAAGGGAAGAAATCGTATAAAATAAATGTAAGAGGAAAATACACTAAAATTATTTAATGTATTTTAAATGGTATGCAAAATTAATAATATTTACAAAAATATATAAATTTTTTTTGCAATAGGTGTAGTGGGAAAAAAAGGGGAACACTAACAAAATACTGTACAAAGCAAATCCAGAATGGAAAACAAGAAACAGGTTAAATATTATCGAACAAGGTGATTTAAAAATTAAATTAAGCAATTTTATGCCAATATGAATGCAATGGCATCGATATAGCAAGCGCAAAACCATCACATTAATTAAAATCGAACTTTTGTGCAATTAGAATCTGTGATTTTATTCTGAACACTTTTATATTTGTAATATTAAAAATAAAGCAATGCGAAAAAAAGTAAGCATAAATCTAATAAATCATTTTTCCAAAACTTTTGTTCATATTCTTAATCTCATTGTTATCTTTAATCAAGTACTTGTATCATGATTATTGCATATTATATATTACGTAAAAAATTATAAGGCGCTCTTTGAAAAAAAAAAAAAAAAAAAGAATTCTTTCAAAGAGGCAGATGCCCCCCCAAAAATTGGGAATATCCAGTCTAAATGCAAGATTGTTTACTGTCTTTTGACAAACATTATTGTTTTTACTGTCTTTTGAAAAACTTTTAAACACTAAAAATCTCTTAATATGGTGATACATAATTATGTTTCCTTTGCAAATTCAATAACATTTGTAGAAGATGATAATTCTTCTACAAACATTATGAGTTTGCTTCATGAGGTTCTTTGCCCTTTAAAGCTTTCAGATCGATTTGTTAGGAAAAAATTAGGCAATTAAATAAGCTTTTAAAATGACCTTGCATAAGGAAAGTAAAGTTAAAAAATTATGGCTTCTATTTGACGTCAAGACAAAATCCGCATCTTCTATAACAATGTGTAAAGGAAGATATTTCCAACACAAGTTTCTTACTTTTCATTAAAAAGTCATAAGAAGAGCTCTTATTTGAGGTCTCCCACTGCAGTATCTATTTTGTATTAGAGTCTGTGTTAAATTACGAAAAGAACTGCAGAATTAATATATCATTTTAGTTAATTATTGCAAAGCTATCGCGGTTTATCGGGGCATTTTGCTATGAAAAAAAGAACTCAAAAGGCAAAAAAGAAAATGTTTTCAGTCAAAAAATATAATCCTTTTATAGCTTGCTTTTTTGAATATCCACCATTCATTTTGAAAGGGTGTGTCATTGAAATCTAGTAACGAAGAGAAATAAATGAAAGGATTATTATTAGCTACAGTAAAGCTTCGACAGAGATAAATGTATTAATTTTTCTTTCCTCTTGAGAATATGTCCCGAACTATTTAATAAGAAGGGATGATCATAATATGCATGGACTTGCAAACCCTGCAAGTTAATCAGCGGCGTAAACATCTGAACTTGGACCATAATATGCATAGAATACTTTTGGCGATGAAATGAAAGCAGTTTAATTCATTATTAGGATGTGCGATAAGCTTTGCTTTTGATCTTTTAAAAAATGAAAATTCATTCAGGTAGATAATCTTCGAGTTCTTTGTCATGGCAAACAATTTCATCTAACCTAGTCTAACAAAAGGCATAATAATCGAAATTTAACATAAATCAAAATGTTACTTTGGATGGACATAATAGTAAAACGGCCAGTGCTCCTATGAAAGACAACATTCTAAAACACACAGTGGATTAGATTCTCAGTTTCGACTGAAAATTTTTGCTCTGTAGCTCCGATGTTGGAATATAAAAAGAAATCTCCGTACATACACTATATCCTTTGCAAAATCATAAAATATTACACTAATTCCCAAATATGTTTTGGCTACTCCCCTTCTGTGTCTCAGCTATCACTTATAGATTGTCATTGTTGATAATGATAGTCAAGTAGCTTTGACAACCGTTAACGAATGATTATAGGCTTATCATATATACTTATATAGATCTCAGTAATACGGTGTTAGCCGAGAAACACCCAATCCTCGTAATTCTAGGTCGTTAGTTGCGTCCATCTACGAATATATAACTCACACAATGGGTTTCTGGCTGAATGCCCTTCGCGTAACATAAGATAAATCGTGCTTTTCATTGTTCAGAAGGCTTAAGCATAGTTATCTGTGATATATCGAAAGCTAAAATAGTAACTCACCCTGTGTCCGTAGAGGGCTTGGAGCTGGTCAAACATCCACATCTCTACGCGTAATCTCTTCCTGATGAGGTTCATTTGATGTTGTCCGTATTTTGCAGTCAGGTATTTCTTTTTCCTCTCCTGAACCTCTCCTTTGCCTGGTTCGAAATTTACATGAAGAACCGTCTTTGTCGTATCCGCTTTCATATATTTAAGGCGAGAAGGTGGAGGGGGTCCGGGACTGTAGGATGTAATAGTGCATTCCATCTACAGAGATAATACATAAATTCAGAATAATTTGAAGTTTTTATATCAAGCATATGTATTAATTTTATTAACTTTTGCATGCAATAATAATAAAATATGGAAATGCAATAATTTAGATAATTAATAAGTTTGTAAACTAATTATATATTTAATAAAAAATATATCTATGACTGGATACTTGAACTGCTTAAATCAGATGACAGATGTCTACTGAGAACACTTTTCAGAGAAACTCCAGAAAGATTGAATTCATACCAAAATGTTCGGTTTTTATATTTCCGAATATGAAAAGTATGGGATCCACTCCATATTAGGAAACATGAAAACTCTTTGTCCAGTATTATGATAGTACTATGGTTAATACATTCATTATGGTAATTAATAAAAATTACATTCACTGTGGTTAATGAACGTAATTTTTTATACCTATGGACGAGTATGGATAAAATTATTAGGAATACATGTCTCTGTGAAAAGCGGCACTTGAAATCCGCCGGTACGGATGTCTCCTTAACATGTTGAAAACAGAAAGGAAGACTCTTGGACTCCATTCCTTGGGATGTTTCCATTCAAAACTGGGATGAAGTTAAGCAAAGTAACATTGTTAACACTGGCTTTCAAGGCTTATGACACTGGCAGTTGTAAATTAGATTGACCCATAATTATTTATTAGACCTGTCCAAGACACTAAGCAGCGGAATTCAGGATAAACAGTTACGATAGTAAAGCATGAAAATTCTAACACTTCAGGTTTACAAAGATTATAATTCAGTAGGAAACTATTAGCGTTCAATGATTTTACTTCAACATTACAGGAGGAGGCAGAAATTAAGATCCGTGGTACTTAAGCACATTTATAAAATGTCAAAAGTTCAGTTTTTGCTCAACGTAAGCAGTGACATATACAGCAACTTGTACTACAATCTTTAATACTTGAAGTGTTTATTTTTATTACATTTAAGCAACAAAACTCATTTTCAAACACTATAATATTCCAGAATGTTAATTACATAATGCCAATGCTGTATCGGAAGCACCAGAGTATACTCAAATTTCTCGCAAGGATACAATGAATTGTTACTGTAAAAGCAATCAAACAAGATAATTTGAAATCTGCGAAGTTTGCAAATATTAACGACTTGCTAAAATCTTGACACTTTAAATAAAGAGAACGCAATTAAGGATACAATGAAGTCCAAGGAAAGCATTCAGGGTGTGGCAATGCTATTGCTCGCAGTAAATAATCTGTTTAAAATGCAACCTAAATGAGGATGACTTACGCATTAATACTCAAACAATGAAATATCTAGGCCAGAAAACACGAAAAACACACCTGTTAAGCAAGGTAAATATCAACTTTTTCAATACGCGGCTGTATGTAGAATAACAACTAGATAGCCAGTTATGTATTCTTTGGATGAAGGACGGCTGACTCTCTCTCTCTCTCTCTCTCTAGCGATTTGGTTTCTTGATGAATAATTGTTAATTGACATTTCAATTATCGAAACCTATTTAATATAATATTGATAAAAGTCATCAAACTTTGGACTTTGGTTCTACTTCATTGCGAATAGTCCAGAAATGTAGCGAAAAATGTTGAGTGAAAGAAATATTTATTGAAAGATTTACTGATGAGATAGCAAAATACTATTCGGAGGAAAGTGCATATAATGATAAAAACAGCGTTATAAAAGCAGCATTAGTAGTTAGAGAACCAAACGGTTAAAACAACTGCTCAGCCATTAAAAAAATAAAAGGTTAAATTAACTTTAATTACAGCCACTGAAATAATTAAGAAGAAAAGTAAAGAATCGTAACATTTTACAAAAGTGTATTCATCTCATACCGCTTCTAACGAGACCCCCCCCCCCGAAAAAAAAAAAAGGTAAACGTGAAAATGAGCGAAAAAGATCAGGAAACGGTAAATGAAAAATTTATAAAAGAAAGACACATCTACGATATTTAAAGAAAAACATAAAAAATATTATTGAAATCTTTATTTTTAACCACAAGTGATAAACATGCAAGATATTTAATTAGGTATATCATATAAGAAAATTTTGCATATATATATATATATATGCAAAATTACATATTAATATTATATATATTTTGTACGTCCATATTTCATTTAAGATATGGCAATTAATAAATTTGCATTCGTGTTTTCATCATTCAATACATTTAGTTCATAATGAACATTTAAAAGCTTTAACACTTAGGACCTTCAGCTAACAAAAAATTTCAGGGAACAGCGGAAGGAAATAAACACGATCACTGCATGACTAATATCTATAAAATATAGGCTATGAACTTTACATGCTGCTGAATTGCACACGAGAAGTCAATTAGGCAATACACACGACAATTTCCTGCCGATGCAGTTCATGACAATTTTGTGTGGGAAACTGGCTCATATTTAACGTTGCATGTAGAGTCACAAAAGACCTAATGCAGCTAGACATTTCTCCGGGAATCTTATGCGATATGAAACTGTCAATTTTCAATGGTTTTACATTCGTTCTTTTACTGTATTCTTAAGAAGAACCTAGAAATATTAAATTTCAGAATTAAGAATTATTCAATTATAATTTCAAGTTAGTATATTTTATTTGTTTAAAAAAAGTTATAGAATCGTTAGGTTATTTTGAAGCATGAGACTTGAAAAATGTGCAATGCCCTCGCCGGGCTCGAACCCTAGACTTCTCGAATACGGGTCGAGTATGCTTCCAATTACACAATGAAGGCATGCGAAAAAGAAAGCAGAAAATACCTTAGAAAGTAAAAACAATCATTCTGAATTTAGAGACTAAAAATATTCTTAAAATAATTGATGTAATAATTCATTAATAATTAAATAAAAGTTACGTAAATAAACATTATATTTACTTAATTGTTGCTTTTGTTTCTATATACCCTGATTCTAAACATCTTTTATTATTTTTTAACATTATATTGCTGTTTGACAGAGATTTCCAGCTAACTCATTCATTTACCGAGTTTAGTTTCTTAAATTACAAAATTTCAGTAAATAAGGTAGGAAAGTTGGTGTTTTTGTGACTTGTCAGGCTTTCCATGTCGTTGATGTGTCTATCTATTACCGTTGTACGATAACGCACCTAGCAATTTTCATAACCATAAAATATTTTGTAGGTAAAATAATTCAAAATTTCTCAAAAGTAAGTTTAAAGAACTAAAAGGAGCAAAAAATTGCACAGTATGTAAGGAGTGACTAAAAGAACAAATGCGATATTTATGATTAACTTCGCAACCTTGTACTGATAATAAAATACTAAAACCTGATTGAATTTTTTTGATTTCTTTGAAAATGGCAATTCACGTTAACGTACGAAAAAATCGCAAACACTGTCATCATAAAGGGTATTAAAAAAGATAGAGAGTATAAGAAGCAAGAAGGAATATTATGATGTTAAAACATCGTCAACACATTCATTACTATTAATAAAATTTCAGCTTATTGAGTCGAGTCGATCATATTCTTAAACTTCTATTCTTAAGAAGTCTCTGATCTATAGTATATGGAAGAAAAGTACACGCAGGAGAGATCTAATATAAATGCTCGAAATCAGTAAACGTTTAATGAAGTATTTTTAAACTACATGCTCAATAATGGCCAGCATTTAAAAAAATAAAAAATAAATCTCCTAGAACTATAAATGTGTTGCAAATTCAACTTTCAGTTCGAAGAAGCTTGAAAAGTCTTCCGTAAATGTCATTTATTTTTTAAAGATTTTCATGAGATTGTCCTGTGATCTAGCGATAGTTGCAGACGAAAACTAATAACCGCCACAAAAGCAAGTATTTCCAGGCGAACTATTTACTTGGACACAAAAATACTTATCATTAAGTCAAGCTTCCAGCAGTTTGCAACCCACTTGTAGCTGATCACATGAGAACGTATTTACAAAAGAACCAGCAGCACCGAAACTGGACTATGCGCTATTGAGATAGTTTTCGACTTAAGGCTATGCCAAACCGAACTTGAATTATAAAATGAAGTGGCAGCTTAGTAGAGTAAATTGCTGTGAAAATGCGATTTTTTCTAATGCGCCAAAATTTATTAACATGTCACATTGTTATACAGAGAGATCGGGTAACGTATTTCCATCCATCTCTTAACAACACGTAAAAAGAAAATTTTGGAAGAGATATTTTGATAATATAAATGGCATGAAAATAAACGGGCACATAAAACTCTATAAAATCCACAGAGATTCTCTTACGAATAAGCCCACAGATACTGGAAACTTATATTTGGATTTTTCAGGGTACAATTGAATGCACATTTCATATATATGGAGGATAAAGAGCTTTCTCAATAACAGTTGGTAGATAATTTCCTTCGAAGTGAAAACATGTAGTGAATGTAATGGTTATCAGTTTGAACCACACTGAACTTTCGTTAATGTTCTAATACAGTGTTTCCCGAAATGTGGTAGGCATACTTCCTGGTGGACGGTAAGAATTTGATGGGGTACACCCTGCACCGGGCTGAGAACGTAGGGTAAACGTGCATAGCTGAAGCGAAAACAATGAAATGAGGGTAAACCATAAACACAAACGATACCAAATGTGGCGTTGCCACTCCAATATTAAATGCATAAATATGTATAAAAATGAGAAATATAAATAAGGAAATATTACAACCAATACTACAAGACATAAATATGTATAAAATGAGAAATATAAATAAGAAAATTAAGCCAGTATTACAATACACACGATATATGCATTAACAATTATGCAAGGAAGGTGTTTTCACTGATATCTTACGGTACAACACAAAATTCATTAAAAGCTCTTACTGTCTCTTACCTCTTATCTCAAAGGACTTTATGCGAATATTATAGAAATTTTTCAGGGTTAAATGCAATTATCAGAAAATAATACTTCAGTTATCTTCATTGGTATAATTAAATTCTAAAATTAATTAAAATTTTTCCGGTTTCTAGAATTTTTATTACGTAAGCATATTGTAA